TGGAATTACTCGCTTGTATGAATACCTATTTTTGAACAGAGTTCTCAAATTTTGACCACATCCACTTCGTGAAGCACTTAACAGAAAATTGAAAATTATGCCATTTCCCCTCTACGCATTAGCCGACTTAAAAAAGCGTTCGATTCTATGCGGTTGAGTGCTATTCTGAACACTGCGCGATTTTGATATTAATCATGTTTACATCTAACTGATCGGGAAACTGAATACTGACACCGCAAACGACAACAAGCTATTCGAGGTGCAAGTCGAATCAATGTCAAAAGAGGAATACACTGGAGAGATGCATCGCTCCTCAGCTTTTCGTCACGGCGCCGATCCCCTTGAACCATGTGAAGTAGGGCAGCGGCATTAACACTGATGACTCGCCCATCTGCTGTTTGCAAACGACATATTCATCTTCGTCAAAAACTTAGCGAAACTCCAAACAATGATCGTGCTGTTCAGGTGGAGTTAGGCGCGCCATCGGTCTTGAGATGAATATCCCCAATACGAGATGGAAACGCGACGAACACTGCCCGTGGGAACGATCTTCACTGACGGTGAAGAAGGAGAAAAAGTCACTAACAAGGTTTACCTTGGTCACCTTATGAGTTCTAATGACCGTATCATTGGCGTGATCAGCAGAAGAAGGAGGAAGGCGGCATAATACATTTAAATCACATCAAATCATCGCTACTGAGTAACGAATTGTGTACGCCCATGAAGAAAGAATTGTTCGACTCCGCCGTTCCTCTCCCGCCGTTGTTTAGAACTCGGAGTGCTGGTCTACGACCAAGATAAAATAAGCTAATAGTGGTGCAACCAGCGATGGAAAGAAGAATATACAACGTCCCTGATCGAGACTATATTCCAAGTGCGATAGACACGATTTTTGGATGTACTCACTTCTGTCTTCATCTCGAAGAGACGATGGACTGGATATGTGGCTCATGTGAAGACAATGGACGGACATTACGAGCTATGAAGTGGATCCCCTTGACAACGGGCAGGGGACATTCACCAACACCCTGGATGGATCGATGGCGAAGCTGTTTGGTAACAGCGGAAATGGAGGGCGCGCAGCATCTAAATAAGTGGTAAAGCGTTAACTTGGGTCTGTCGCCGACAAAAAATACTCATAAAGGATAATTTTTTTAGGCAGACCATAGAGGCTCCATCGATGGAGTTTAGAGTCGCGCTAGATGGATTGTGAGTCATAATCGCTGCAGAATCACCTGCGTTTTATCTTTTTCAGCTAGATAAATGAATGTCACTTTGCAAGGCAGGATCCAGAATTTGCATGGTGTGGGCTTCAGGTAGTTGTAAATAATATCTGCGTAAATAATACACGCATGAGTAAGGACATTGAATCAGATATCAGCATGATGCCATAAGGCTATATGACTTAACGCAGTCACGAATAGCATCTGTCGGAATTGTCGGGGAGATCGATAGCCAGACAGAAGTACAATTTAACGTTCAGGACAATGGACCGGATGTTATAAACACTTTGAACTTTCTTTGATCATTGAAGCATGCTTAAATATACCTGCTATAGCGAAGCCGTGCATGGAAGTCTGTAATCGATTTGATATTCGTATCATCTGACTTAAGAAGCTCAGTAATGGATATTCACGTTAAGAGAGGAGCAGAGCTGTCAACTGACCACCACCTCGTTGTTGGCACCATCCGCTGTAATAGACGGAGTACCATACGAAAAGCTGAGGGCAGAGGTAATTACAGAATTTAATAGGAAATATGATCTTCTGTGCGAAAAAGGGCAATACTTCTAAGCAGCATCGTACGGCGGTTTGAACTCTAACGATTAACAGTGATTTGGAAACCGAGTAGAAGCTCTTTAAGAGCGGTTTAAGACACATTCTTTTATCGTAGCAAACCCGTTTTTCCTGCGTTATAGTCACCCTATATATATTTCGTAAATCAACTGCTTTGTTTGGCAAGGAAGCACTCAGTGACAGTGGTTTTCAACGCTGGTTTAATTTGGTCCTTGCTAGATTGATACAGCAGTATCCATAATTGCTCAGATTTGTTCTGTTCAGTTCAGTAATCTGCTACAGTTGCGTAGTTCTGTTCCGTACGTTTAAAACTGAACTTGGTTTTAACATGAGTCCTCTTTTCGAGTGAATTTTTTTCCACATTCTTTCGATCTTCGGGTGAAATTTGTCGCTCATCGCAGTTTGATGTCGTTCTTTGCCCACTGGCCCTCTTTTGTTAAGTCTTCATATTCCTTTACATGGCCTTATTTGCGCTTGGATGATAATTACTGCATACTCGCAGTGCTTTTTCAAGTCGTTAAGCGGACCGAATCTTCTTTCGGTAAGCTTTTGTGTTATTTGTGTTCTACTTAAAGTATCCCTTATCAGGGCATTGCTTATTCGATTCCTTCCTTTTTATTAAATCAAGCACTTTTGACTCAAGCTTGACCTTTTTACATGATTTCTTGCCAGGGGGTACGCTGCTCACCTCTCTTCATTTGAATCATGTATTTTTCGATACCACTTATTCTTCATTCGTTGATGAACTACACGGTATCTTGTACGAATGAATCAAGATCAATGCTGAGTTTTGGACAACAGAAGGCACTGATTCACTGACGTTGATTTTGTTGTCTCTGCAAGAGCATCCCACCGTGTATTGTATCTTGTTTTCACTGAGTCCACCCACAAAAAACTGCGCTGCATGCTTAGGTTTGCTTCTACACTACACTTTTTTTCGCTACACAATAGTGCAGTGATGTGTTTTATTCTTAGTTGTATTAAACTTAAATACATCAGGAAAGTAAATAAGCTTTTATTTTTTTTACTTATGCTGTTTCTCTTTCTTCCTGTATACTTGATATTCTGACTGCTGTTGGCATATTAGACTAATTCTGCTTAGTTGATGCGCCCCTATATGCTATCGTTATTATAGAAAAAATCCTGGTTATTCGATCCGCGCAGGCGAATATTGTGCATTTCTCATTGCTACCGATATTCTCAGATTTTACTTTGTCTGAAGCATAAGCTTCAAGATTTTGTAAAATTTTTCCAAGTGCCAATTTGATGGCATAGTGCTTAGTTCCAGAATGATCGGTCAGTCGCACCACATTCTCCCTTTACAGTCATCGTAGGCTTGCTGTTAGTTACTCTCCAATGTACACTTAAAATGTTCGGTATGTGCAACATATTTGATTCCTTCCCTCATTGTGACCCTTGGCAGTTTGTTTGAAATTCAGGCAACACTGTTTACTCTTTCATTGCACCCTGATATTTTAGGCGCTGCCTCCCAAACTGCTGATCATTACAAGAATTTTCCTTTGCATCAACTAATGACAGTCCCGTTTTTGTAAATGATTTGCATGCTTTTGTCAGCTAGCTAGTCTCAGGATCTAACATGAGAACGAAGTATTAACAGTTAAAACGTAACTTTATTACTAATGACATTCACCGTACTCAGTGAATCTCACTGCATGGTGCATCAAGGCTGTTATATTGGTTCAAGGTTATGTCTCCTTTCCGCTAAATGTAATGTTAACGTCGCTATCAATTTGGCACAACTCTTTCCTTTACTCAATTCTGAGTCACGAATCCAATGCTTGTCATTTAAATTGGATTATTTACACCAAGTTAATCGATTAGCTTTACTGGTGGCTTACCACCATAAGATGTAACATCTTGCTCCAGTGGTCCTATGATCCGTTCTATATTATTCAGTAATAAATGAAAAATGCGTTTATTGTAATAACTTATCTGCGGAAACTAATTTTAAACTAGTGCCTTTTACCCGCTGAAACTTTGAAAAACACAGGATACTCTAATAGTTACTACGGGCACTTTAGCGAAATAATCAGTAGAATTAATGCTGTTAATCTGCTTCCAATCATTCCTACCAGAATGGTAAGCAATGTGAGTGGTGCCTGAAACGTTGGTCTGCTGCTAAAATCATACATGACTCTACTTTTTGGTGTCTTGAACTTGGATAATTTGGAATGTTTTTATGATTACTGTAATTTTCTTGACAGTAAGTTCAGAAAACGCCTTAATTCGATATTAACCGCTATTTATAACTAATTCAATCCTGTTCTTTTATTATCTGTCGGTATTGTTATTTATTAAAATGGCTTATGTTTCTGTTTAGCACTCACACTCGTATTCAGTTTCGGCTTCCTGATGGAAGCGTACTGGTCGAAAATTTTCCCATAAATGACCCTTTGAGAAGTGCTCATTCATTCGTTGCCGAAAATTTTCATGCTTTGAGTTCGTTCATACTGATGAAAATTTTTCCGAGACATGAATACACCCCCGAAGAATTGGATAAAAGCTTTTCAAGTTTGGACTTGGTTCCTTCTGCTGTTCTTTTGGTTCTTCCGGTAAGAAATTTCATGTTTTTTAAATGCTGCTTTTTAAATGTTGAAGCCTTTAAATTCCATAGCAGAGAATTATGTACATTTGAGGATAAATCGTCCTAGCCTCGGATCCCTCTTTATAATAAAGATGCCTGCTCAGCTTTCTTTAGAAACAGTTATAAATGCGCAGTTCCAAAAATATTTTTTTGCAGATTTATTATGAAGCAATTAGCAGTTTTAATTCTAAAAAGCAAAACAGCAGTGGCGTAAGGTTTGGGGCAAATTAAGCTAATCTATACTTCTGAAGAGTATTGTTAATCTGCAATTCATGTAGCATTTTTTAGCCTTCAACCTTTAGTGATTCATCCGTGGTTTCCAGAATCGGTGTTTGGCAGATTGTGACCAACTTTTTGATCAGTCCCATTTGGAAGATATGGACCACCATCTCAAGCTGGCTGTTTCCTCGAGCACCAATTGTCACTTCTAATGCAAACAGGTTTTTACTTATTCATTTATTTTGACTTTTTGGTCTTGGCGATTTAGTAGCGGCAGCACGTCATCTGAAACCCAGTCTCGGACTTTCGGAAGAATCACGGACCTGAGGAATGACAGTGACGATGCAGAAGGAACCTGGAATGGGAATTCTACGCAACAGTTGTAACATGTTAATATTCGTAATTTACTCTAAGTAAATTTCTAAGCGTTTTCATTTAAATACTTCTTTTCAGTTGATTTTTATGTTTTATTACAAAGTGGCATATTAAGAAGTTCTATATTCTTCTTCATGGACAACAATTTCGTCACATTAATTTCGTTGCTGAATTTTTCAGCCGACCAGTGATAAATCTT